ATAGTGAAGGTAAATTCGGTGAAAAGAAGGCAAGAAGTTTGCTGTATGATTCAATTACAAAACAGCTTAATTTAATTAGTGGGATACTTGTAATCTGTACAGATTACAAGTATCCCACTTAGTTCGGACTATAACCATACCATATATTAGTTGGACTATAACTATCCCGAAAATGACGAGAGAAAAATGAATCACGACACACTTTTCGGGGTAGTTATAGTCTACCAATTGATGCTGTGCAAATTGCACTTGTCACGTCATTCGAGAGTCACCAAGGTGTACCGTAGCTTAACAATTGTGACCGATTTTTGTCGTCACCTCCGTATGCAACATATCGTGTGCTAGTTTGGTAATCGTGGTTGATTTCTGCCATTAGACTACATGGGTAAAAAATATATCTGACGATGCATTCAGTCATATATCGTCATTTGTGGGCCCGATGTGAGGGCTATGCCCGAACCCGGCACGTAGTGCCTTAGCTTTCTGGTTAATTCCTCGATTAGGGCCAGAGTTGAGGCACATAGTGCCGAAATAGTATTCATGACCTGGCTTTGTATGATGTGTTCGAATATCGATCAAGAATGAGGCACGTAGTGCCGAATTGTTAACTGTTATAATGCATTCAAATATCACCCAATGATGAGGCACGTAGTGCCGAATTGTTATCATGTCTGGTAATATACCAAAGCATCCGATGATGAGGCACGTAGTGCTGAATTGTTAGCATATCTGGTAATACACCAAAGCATTCGATAATGAGGCACATAGTGCCGAATTGTTAGCAGTTATTTGGTAGTCACCCAAAGCATAATTTTTATAATATATATCTTTCTATAATAATTTTACTTTGGGTGACTACCGGCAGTATACTATGTTTTACGATCCTAGAAATCTTTCTTGCATAGTTGATACTTTCGAACACTATCACTTCATGTTAAAAATACTTTGGGATACTACCAATTTTTATATCCAAAGCATTATATATATCTGTAATAATTTTACCTTGACATGCTACCGAATACCAGCTATGTTTCATATTTTTTGAACCATTTCTCGTGTAGTTGATATCTTTATATGGTAGACACCCAAAGCATAATTTTATAATATATATATTTGGTAGACACCCAAAGCATAATTTTATAATATATATATTTGGTAGACACCCAAAGCATAATTTTACCTTAGTATGTAGAACTTTAAGTTCCATATCTACATTTTCTGACTCATTATTTTCTTCCATTCCTAATTCAATTAAATTTTCAGAATCATACAATTGAACAGGTGCAGTAATAACATTATTTCATTGAGCCAAATCAATTTGTGCTTGGTCTAGTTGTTGACTTTGTTTTGAAGATTTGAAAAACTTGATAAGCTTTCTAATTCTTTTTATATATGGTTTAATAGACTTCAAGCTGTGAAGAACCATAAGTTGAAGGGTATGTGCAAAACATGATATACATTCCACATCATCCCAAATTCTAATTGCTTTTTTCATATTCTTACCATTATCAGTAATTGCACAAATTATTTTACCAGACAACCCAAATTCTTTCAACCTTTGCATTTAGGTATTCTTTAATTCATTCGCCTGTATGTGGATATTCCATTTTTCAACAGCCAATACTACATCATATACTTCAAAATCTGGTGATAACCAGTGAAGAGTCACACCAATATATCCATCATTATTTTGAGATGTCCACAAGTCAGTTGTTATAGAGGCTGTTTCACAAGTTCTCAAAAGCAATTCCTTTAATTGTAAAACACCTTTGTTGTATGCAACAGAAAGACTGTTTTTTATGCTTTTACTGGAAGGTGAGTTGAAAGCAGGATCAATTGTTTTCATAATTTTTAAATATCCTTTTTTATTTACAACGTTAAAAGGTAATGAATCAGTAATCAACCACTCAGCTGTAATTCTTTTTGCTTGGACGAACTATGTGGAATAACTTTTTTGAAAATATTATCAATTTTTGGTTGAGCATATTTTTCTAAACCAGTATGGAGTTCCTCCGATTCCAATATTCCATGTTTCATTTGAAGGTGTTGTTTCATATTACCAGTTGAACCATCATGTTTGTAACTTTTACCACATGTGGTTTCCTTACCATTTACTGAGATAAGTATTTTGCATACATCATTCCCATTTTCTTCTTGGAAATAACTCCAAACAAAACTTTTTTTTTTGGATTTAAAATTATGTTGATGCTGAAAATTTACTCGAAATTTTTTCTCAGGTGTCTCAACAACTTCCTCAACAACTTCCTCAATAGTCTCTGATGTATCAAGAATGGTATCAATATCAGAATCTAGTTCGTAATATTCAGTATTATCACCCATAGTATGATAAATGAGAAAAAATTTTATTTTTTTTAATTTATTAAAATATTACAACTTATTTATATATTACTTTCAAATGCCAAATCAGTAAATCAAGTATATATTATGATTACATGAAAAGAATTCAAACAATTAATTAACAAAAGAAATGATGAATCAATAGTATCATTGCCAAGATAACTCTAACAATATTGTTGGTTGAATTATTATTTATAAAAATGAATTATAAATCAGATGTAATGTTAAACGTCATTGTGGTATTATATGGAAATTCGCATTCAATGTTCTTTTTCAAAAACATTAATATATTATGTACTGACAATACTGTTGACTAAATTATTATTTATAAGAGGTTGGATAATCTGTATTAAAAATACATATGATAAATATAAAAAATGAATTATAAATCAAACATAAGATAATCCGTAATAATACATAATATAAAAAAATAAAAATGC